ATGGAGGCAGGGTTCCTTTGCCCATTTTTTGATTGGATTGTTTATCTTCCTTTTGTTGAGTTGTATGAGTTCCCTATAAATGTTGGAGGTTAAACCCTTATCAGTGATAGCATTGGCAAATAGGTTCTCCCATGTAGTGGGCTTTCTTGTTGTTTTGTTGATGGTTTCTTTTGCTGTGCAGAAGCTTTTTATTTTGATGTAGTCCCATTTGTTCATTTTCTCTTTAGTTTCAAGTGTCCTAGGAGCTGTATCAGTGAAGAAATTGCTTCGGCATATGTCTGAGATTTTGTTGCCTTTGGATTCTTCTAGAATTTTTATGGTTTCCTGACGTACATTTAAGTCCTTTATCCATTTTGAGTTTATTTTTGTGTATGGTGTAATGAAATGTGTTTTTTATTTTAAATCACTTAGAAGACATCAGTTACGAAACAACTAAAAATACATAATAGCAGATAAGTAGAAATTTATTAAAACCATTGTCTTCTATAAGCCTGACCTTAGTGCAAATTAATCCAGGGTGGGTTTTGGGGTTCTTTTTTTTTTTCCAGATGGAAAAGTATTTGCAAATTTTCAAGATGATTAGCCAGAATAAGAGTACATTCTGTGAACATTATTAATAAAGTTCTGTTGTATGCAAAAAAAAGTCTCTAACTGTACAAAAATTAAATGTCAAGGCATCTTTTACTCCCATCTTTATGTGCAGTGAAGAGAAATGTTTTAAATAGGAATCAGCTCTTCTATTCAGATGCTTTCTAATGTATTTGGCAGATTTGTTTTATATTCTCCTATTCCACATACCATGGAAAGCTTTCATGATCAAACATTGTGACCCAAGCCAAAATTATAAACAAGTATTCATTTATTAAAGAGAAGCAGTTCACCATTGGAAATTTAAAAGAAACTACAAATAATATTACGTGTAAAGCTCACATACTAGTATTTAAATTTCTCTGAAGCAATTTATGCCTCAGTAATTAAGAGAAAGAAGAGATGAACACTTTATTAAGACAAGAAGCCACCTAATATGGATTATGCTGTGGAATAATTGTCCACTCAGTATTCTATCCCACTGGGACAGTTTTTTAAAAAGGTTTTCATACTTTAAAAAATTATCACATCCACTAGAATAAGATGGTATAAATTAATATTAGTTACTCATTATCCTCCATATTTGTCCATTGACAAAGCTGAAAAGGCTTCCAAAGTATACTAAACAGTAACATTTTCACCTTTTATTACTGCAAGTTTGTGAAATAATTTAATACAACCAAGTCTCTTCATGAATTTTCAGGTTAAAACATTTTTACGTAAGAAACATACAAAAATTGTTTTATAAAAGAGTAATGAGAGATTTTGAACCCAGTTTACTTTTTAAAGGATGTTCTTCCCTTGTTTCTAATTCCAAGTGCTGTTTTCACCTCAAGAGCCAGTGTTGCTTAAATGCTTCACCACATCAACCCATCCTGGAGATAGAATTTCCTGGAGGAAGTTCTCCTTTGTCATCTGTTTTATCTGCCAACTTACATTTCTGAGCTTTTGAAAGTTGTTCTCTTTTGTCTTTTTTCTTACTTGATGGTACTTTATTAGGAGTTTCAACTGAGGTGATATTGCTTATGGATGCTGTAGAATTAACGGGATGGCGGTTCTCCGTGATTCTTTATTGTTCTTGGCATATTTGAACAGCGTGCAGGTCATAGTGGTGCCGAGATTGACCTCCACTGCTTCCTGTAACTTGGCTAATATGCTCTGCTTTACAACTGAGGATATGGTGGTGTTAAAAAAATCATTCATAGATATAATTGGAGGTGTTTGGTGTATGTATCTGTCCATGAAATCTCTATTAAGATCCAAAGCTTAAAAAGCTTTGGGATCACTATTTTCTCCCCATATTGAAATGAAACTGGACTTAATTCCCTGAAACTTTCATCTCCTTCATATATATAATGTAATCTTTTCAGTTCCATCTGCTGATCCTTGTTGGCACTCATTGTGCAGGTCAGGACAACTATGAAGAGAAAGTGGGAGCAGTGGGGCCCCCAGGCCAGGGAGTCCCTATTCCTTGCCCTTGGCTGCCAGAGGCACCACCTTCACATAGCAGGTGACAGTCACATGCACCCCTACCCTCCTCTGGCAACACGAAGCTGTTGGCTGAAGGACTGTGGCTATGCTGACTGGCATAATAAATTAATTTTAAAAGAAAAACATAGTCCCACCTTTTAAAAACTTAGACATATAAGAAATAGCCCGGCCGACGTGGCTCAGAGGTTGAGCGTCAACCTATAAACCAGGAGGTCACGGTTCTATTTCTGGTCAGGGCACAGGCCTGGGGTTGCGGGCTCAATCCCCAGTGGGGAGCGTGCAGGAGACAGCCCGTCAATGATTCTTTCACATCATTGATGTTTTTCTCTCTTCTCTGCCGGGC